GATGGGGGCGGGTCCCAACCAAAGTCCACAACCATCTCCACTGTTTTTAGAGCGTTTAGCTCCAGGTTGTTCTGGCTGCACCAGGTCACCAGATGGTCAATCTCCCATCTGTAGGCGGACTCATCTCCACCAGAGAGGAGCCCAATGAGGGAGGTGTCATCTGCAAACTTCAGGAGCCTGACGGACTGGTGACTGGAGGTGCAGCCGTTGGTGTACAGGGAGAAGAGCAGAGGAGAAAGAACGAAGCCTTGGGGGGATCTGGTTCTGATGGTCTGGGAGTCAGAGACACTTTTCCCCAGCTTCACCTGCTGCTTCCTGTCAGACAGGAAGTCTGTGATCCACCTGCAGGTCACAGTGAGCTGGGAGAGCTTGTCCTGTAGCAGAGCTGAAGTCCACAAACAGGATCCTGGCGTAGGTTCCTGTGGAGTCCAGATGCTGGAGCCAGTGCAGGGCCATGTTTACTGCGTCGTCTACAGACCGGTTGGCTCTGTAGGCGAACTGCAGGGGGTCCAGGAGAGGGTCCGTTATGGCTTTCAGATGGGAGAGCACAAGGCGCTCAAAAGACTTCATGACCACAGAGGTGAGGACAACAGGTCTGTAGTCATTGAGTCTTGTGTGTAATGCAACTGCAGTGACGTAACCATGGCGACGTGTTGTTTACAATTGACAGGAAGTGTTTTTTATTGATGCTTTATATATACATATATATATATATATATATTATAACACACACATATATATATATATGTGTGTGTGTGTATGTGCCTGTCCTGTCTGTTCTGTGTTTGTCCAGCATTGTTGAAGAAGACTGACAGTCTTTGTCTGGACTAATAAAGCTGGAATTTGAATCATGGTCACACAACGTCCAGCCGTGACTGGGAGGTCAAAGGTCAGCAGTCTGGTATCGGTGTATTCAGTGTGTTTTAATGTATTTTTGAATCTTTCGTTACGTTGAGCTGGACGGACTCACTGAGAATGAGCTGTCAATCACAAGGTAGCCCCGCCCTAAAGCATACCCTGCTTTATGGTCTGTTTTACTCTAAATGGGACCATCAGTTACTAAATGAACATCATGCTGTATGGAAGAAGACTGAAACTAGAGACTGAGACCAGAAACTCATCAGGAAACTGTTTACTGAGCTCATTGATCTCCATGAGACTCAATACTATCAGAGTGGAGCTGCCCCCTGCTGGCTGTTAGAGACACTGCAGGTTAAAGGCTGATCCGGGATTCACTCTGTCAGTGGTCACTTCTCGGCATTAGCTGCTGAGACTTATGGGTATTATTGAAGAAGATGTAAATAACGTTCTTTATGTGATATGAATTGAATAATAACCTGTAGGAGTGTTTCCCGGTGGACAGGTGGACGCCACTGACACTCACCTGCAGCCATGCGAGCGTCTGTGAGCCAGGTGTGCTGGAACCGGGCGCAGTGCAGCAGGTGGTGTCCCTGCAGGAAGCCGTTGAGCGAGCAGAAGATGGCGGCGTAGAGGACGATGGGCAGCGGGACGGGTCGTCCTCTGGTCAGGAAGGCGTAGATAAAACTCCTAAAGAACAGACTCCAGTTACTTCCTGCTCGCTTCTTACCCACAATGCCGTTCTTTAAACAGTTCTTTTCTCCAACATGGCCGCCGGTAACCATCAGACACCATTTTCATGACTAAATACTAAAAGAAAATGTTTTCATGAGTGAACAGCGGGTGTCTGATTCCTCTCTGTACACGCTGGCTGGATGGTGGTAGGAGTTAGTAGTCGGCACTTCAAACTCAGTTCTGAACAATCTGAGGAAAAAGTCCTGAAAGATATAAACTGATTGTTATTATGTGATTCATTGTAAATGGGCCTAAAGGTTGGAGAAGCCAGCTTGTGACAGGAAGGTTGTGAGTTCAATCCCCGGACCCAGCAGGATAAATCTGGCTAAAGAAGCACCACCTGCCCCTCCCTCATTACCAGCACTGAGGTGCCCTTGAGCAAGGCCTTTAACGCCAACTGCTGTGGTTGCACTGGGCAGCTTGGGTACAATAAAGGTACAGTGCTTGTACCCTGCCGGGTACAGCTGGAGCCACAGAGCCTTTTAGGTCCAGTCCTGTACCTTGATATCTTCTTTTAGTTCCACTCGAGTGAATGGTGAATGAACTAGCTAACATCTGATAGACTAAATATTAAGTATTACATATAATAACATGAATGTTATGACTCAGTAAGTTGTTAAAGGTCAGTCTGTATTCTGGAGTATGTATAGTCTTCCCTGTTTAATGCTCTATGTGACCTCTGACCTGTTGATATCTGAACAAACTGTCTGTACACTCCTCCTCTCTGGGCTGATGCTTTATATGACCTCTGACCTGTGGAAGTAGTGCAGCATAAAGGTGCAGAGCAGTAGTGTCCTCCCGGTCCCGGTTCTGTTCGTCCCTGGGTCCTCGGCGAGCAGCAGCAGCAGCGGCACCAGAAAGGCCGGGACCTCCTGCAGGAACCAGCCCAGTTTGGCCGGGCAGCAGCGACCCTCCGCCGACACGTAGCGGCCGTACTTAGTGTGGTTTCGAGTCTGGTGCAGCAGGTAGGCCACGCCCCCAGTGATCAGAATCCAGCTCAGGCAGGAAACAACAGAGTCCCGACAGTCCATCAGTCCACAGTGTGTTGCTCCAGTCGGGGTCCGGGTCCTATGAGTTCTTTACAGGGAAATAGCCACAAAAACATCCAAAGTCCCAACACTGACCCCAGAACAGAGACCGTCAGTCCCCCTACAGCAGCTGGATCTGTATCTGAGGAACCACCACCATTTAATGAGTGGTTGTATTAACATTAAAAGAACATCATCATCATCATCAGTAAACTATGAAACCCACCCAGACAGAATTACTCAACCAAACTATTTCCGAGGAATTATTCTGTTGTTTTCCTGAACTGAAGAAAGAATGTGACACTGTTGTTCTTGTTCCTATGGAAACATTTCTGCCCATGTTGTGCAAGTGAATCAGAAACCTCAAAATATTATATCATTACCTCAAAGTCAATGTTTTATATTAAATACATTTTATTTTGACTTACAGAATCCTTTTTTCCGTCACACTGGGCAGAAATAGGTGCCGGTTCTTTAAGAAAGTGTCCTGAAAAACTTGAAAAGATCACTGTAGCAGATTTCACATTATCTCAACCAACAATGTCACCAAACTGGAGCTTCTACCTGCAGCTGCTGATGGACAGAACAAACTCACTCAGTCTGACAGCCGGCAGTACACAGAGGGAGAGAGAGAGAGAGGGAGAGAGAGAGGGAGAGGGGGAGGGAGAGAGAGAGGGGGAGGGGAGAGAGAGAGAGAGAGAGAGAGAGAGAGAGAGAGAGAGGGAGAGAGAGAGAGAGAGAGAGGGAGTAAACACAGAGGAGGGTTTATAAACGAAGACATTCTTGAGAGGTCAGACAGCAGCAGGTTTGTACTCGTGTTGAACTCTCTGTGGGTTCATCTCGAATCAACAATATCAAATAACTGAAGCAGTCCTGTGAACCAAACTTACCTTGAGACTCCAGGTTGGACGTCTGTGGTACAGACACAGAGGACACACCTTTTTCTTACTGCAGCATAATGTATGAAGAAGTGGGCGGAGCCATCAGAGATATCAGCTAAAGCAGTGACATAACTGTAAAATACATTCATCATCTCTATATGTGTAATGTTACTACACCACGCAAAGCAACCGTTACCGTACCGCTAGCATCATTATTGTTGGCTAAAATCTATAAGTTAGTATCATGGATCATGTTAGATGGGGAAGCTAACATTAGCCAACTAACATCCACTCAGATAGTATTTTGTTAACAATAATGTTAGCAAGAAAGGTTCAGGTTAGCTATTATATATATATAGGTTACTATTTTGACTTTCTTTATATATTTATTTAGTATTGTGAACTCTTTTTTAAGTGCCTGCAACACTGGAATTGATTTGGCAAATTGACATTTATGTTTGTAATATCTTGTTCTAATTATAATATTTATGGTTCAGGACTCACCTGATCCAGCCCTAACTATAAGCTTTATCAAAGAGGAATGTCTTAAGCCTACTCTTGAATGTGGTGAGGGTGTCTGCCTCCTGAACCACAACTGGAAGCTGGTTCCACAGGAGAGGAGCTTGGTAACTGAAGGCTCTGGCTCCTGTTCTACTTTTAGAGACTATAGGAACCACAAGTAGCCCAGCATTCAGAGAACGTAGTGTTCTAGTGGGGTAATAGGGTACTATGAGCTCTTTAAGATATGAAGGGGCCTGACCATGAAGAGCTTTATAGGTGAGGAGGAGGATTTTAAATTCTATTCTACATTTTACAGGGAGCCAGTGCAGAGAAGCTAGTACAGGAGAGATGTGATCTCTTTTTCTAGTTCCTGTCAGTACTCGTGCTGCAGTAACAAGTGAAGTAACAAATGCATGGATTACGTAATATTACAAAAATTAGACACATACTATCACAGACAGATGCAGAAAAACTAATCCATGCATTTGTTACTTCAAGGCTGGATTACTGCAACTCTTTATTATCAGGTTGCCCCAATAAGTCCATTAAAACGCTCCAATTAATTCAGAACGCTGCAGCGCGGGTACTGACATGATATGACTTTATGCTCTCTCTCTTTCTGCACTCATTCATGTCCCATTAATGCATGTTACTAACTTCACTTCTTCCCCGGAGTTCTTGTGCTTTCTCGTCTCGCAGGTTCTCATGGATCCTGGTAGAGCCTCCTGCCATGATCCTGCTTAACTGCCATTGCTAATATCACTGATAATATTGTTATTATTAGGGACCGAGCACTGACAAGTGCAAGGTCCCTATTGTAATGCAAGTGTGGCGGTGCGAGCTTGATTACTAAGTTATCAGACGATCTCTTCTATTTTATTTGTTACTGACAACGCCACCTTGGGTTAGGGCCCAAGGACCCGTACTAAATGTCAATTATCACCTCTTACAAAAGGACACTCAGGTTCATTCACTCAGGGAGGGCAGGAGACAGAGTTCAATGATCACATACAAAATTTTATTATTTAAGCGACCACAAGGTTTGGCACAAAAAGTTGGGCGGGACCTCGCACTCCACGCAACACCGGGGCGTGCTGCGGCCATGTCACGTGCCGTCGTAACACGTGCGGACCACAACATGAAAATTTCACGTAAATCAGCTCAAAATCGCCACGCAACACTTACTTCCTGTTGCCAGTAGGTGGCACGATCACTGTGTCTGAATATTGTCATGTAGACGTGTTCAGGGTGGGACTGTTATCAAACATGTGAAGTTTCACTGAAATTAGATCATGTATGCTGAAGTTATGAGGACGTGTTCAGGGTGGGACTGTACACTGAAGGTATGAGTACTATCTGTTTGATGGCCAATCGGTGGAATTCAACACGTCGTCACAGGCACGCAGTTAAATGTACAGTCACAAATAGCACAACTTTTGATAACCAATGTGTCTAGATTGCATTGATCGAATTTGAAGTCAATCTGATAAAATCTGTAGGAGGAGTTAGTTAAAACAGAAGCCCTTAAATGCCGGAAATGGCATCACAGTTTGACATTTGATTCAACCTGGCCAACTTTGAGGGAACGCCACAGACACGCCCTTTAACGTACAGTCACAAATAGCACAACTTTTACTCAGCAACATGTTTTGACTGTACTGACCAAATTTATAGCAGATCCAATAAATTCCCTAGGAGGAGTTCGTACAAATACAACACAAAAAATCTAAGACAATGACAAAGAAAATCAAAATGGTTGACTTTGATGCCACGCCACGGACACGCCTTTTAACGTACAGTCACAAATAGCACAACTTTGAATCAGCACCATTTTTTGACTTTACTGACAAATTTTTAAGTAGATCCGATAAATTCCCTAGGAGGAGTTCGTTCAAATACAACGCAAAAAGTTTGCGGAAAGTGAAAATGAAAATCAAGATGGCCGACTTCCCGTGGGGTTTCGGGTATGGGTCCAAGAGGCTTTTTGTACGTCTCAGCATGTTACACGTGCCTACCGAGTTTCATACATACCGGGGCTGCTTTTTTTTATCCTGTAGGGGGCGCTACAAACACGACAAACACAATTTTTGGTACGTGAGCTTCAGGCACCACTCTACACGTGCCCTGTGAATTTCATACTCATAACTATTACGGTCTCCACACAGTGATTTACCCTGCCACCAGAGCGCCACCAAGTGGCGGATTGTTGTCACGTTTATTAGGGAGCCTCAGGGAGCCATGGGCAAGCATCGTACCAAGTTTCATTTTAATCACACGTGCCGATGCGGAGATAAAAATGTTTTACTTTGAAAGAGCAGTTGCTGGCTCAGTCCCTAATTAATCAGAAATCAATCAAACAAAAGAAGAAAAAGAAAATTAAAGAGTCTCTGGCCAGAGATATCAACTCAACAGTTAACCATAATTAATCCGTTTTGAGCACAAATAAAGAAGGGCTCAAATTGAGAAGTTCCCCTTCCAAATGAAAATTAAATAAACAACTACACCACACCTTGGCAGATTACCTTTAAAACACTCACACGCACACACACACACAGTCCAAACGAGTGGCTGAGAGTCCCAGCGGAGCTCGCAGCGCCCTACCTGAGTGGCAGTCACACACACACACACCACACCACGCACAGCAGCAGCGGGAAACAGGGTCAACAGTAGGAGGCAAGCCGACCAGGGACAGCCGACAGGACTCCGAACCAAGCCAGCGAAGCAGCAGCGGCAGCGAAGCAGCAACAGTAACAAAGTAGCTGTTGCTTAATAGCCTTGATTACTCAGTGCTCTCCTTAGCTTTAGCGTTCATAAACTCCCAGTCCGGTTAATTGGCGTCCCTTCTAAAGAGGGAGAGGGGTGAAGAGGGTCGGCGAAGCAGGGGAGACAGCCACCACTCACCATGCGACCAGAAGACTGTTAGAGGGAGAGGAGTGGAAAGGGAGCTCAGCACCTGGCTAACAGCAATTAACAACAAAAGCTCACCAGGACTCACCTATGCTCCGGTCGGCGGCGGTAAACGACCAATATATTGCCCCGACCACGATAAAGACGTCGGATCTATTAAAGAGTTACGGTTTGAGTTAAATGAAACGCTGACGAATGTACACAAACAGCACGCTAAGGTGCGCCTACCTGTGGTCTGAGATGAGTGGCGAGAGCAACGGTACGCATGTGTACGATGATAAAAGAAGCAGAAAAGTCTCAAGGACCCATACCCCAAACCCAACAGGAAGTCGGACATTTTGGATTTTGTGGCAATTTTTGTTGATTTGCACACGTTGTATTTGAACGAACTCCTCCTAGGGAATTGATTGGATCGACTTCAGATTTGGATATCTAACCACAGTCTCCATTAAAAGTTGTGCTATTTACGTTATTCTGTCGAACATTGTGCCCGTGGCGTGGCATCCCTTGGCATGCAATTTCAAATCTTCGCCATAAAAGAGGGATTCGTCATTACTTCTGCGTACATGATCCGACTTCACATGTTTGATAACAGTCCAGCCCTGAACACGTCTACATGACAATATTCAGACATAGTGATAGTGCCACCTATTGGCAACAGGAAGTAAGCGCTGTGTTGCGATTTTGAGCTGATTTATGTGAAATTTTCATTTTGTGGTCCGCATGCGTTACAGCGACATGTGACGTGGCCGCAGCACGCCCCGAGTTGCGTGGAGTGCGAGGCCCCGCCCAACGCTGCTTGCAGCTTTAATTATTATTAATATTATTATTACTACAGTTACTTTTATTACTATTGTCACTGCTCATTGTCCCCCATCGTTGCTGTTGTCGTCGTCATCATCTTCTTTATGTTCATCATCAGTCACTATTATTAGTGTAGTTGTTGCTACTGTTGTTGCTGTGCAACTGTCTGTCTCTCTCTCTCTCTCTCTCCCACCCACCTAGAGCCAAAGGATCTGTCCTAGGTTTCTGCCTTTTAACAGGCAGTTTTTCCTTGCCCTTGTCTCCAAGGTCTTGCTCATGGTGGTACTGTTGGGTCTCTGTAAACAATGTTATAAGGAGTTCAGTCTAGACCTGCTCTATTTGAAAAGTGTCCTGAGATAACTTCTGTTATGAATTGGCGCTATACAAATAAAATTTAATTGAGTTGAATTAGTTTTTCTGCATCTGTCTGTGATAGTATGTGTCTAATTTTTGTAATATTACGTAAATGAAAGAAGGCAGTCCTAGAGGTCTGCTTGTTGTGGGAGTTAAATGACAAATCCTGATCAAAGATAACTCCAAGATTCCTGACAGTGGGGCTAGAGGCCAAGTTAATGCCATCTAGAGTGACTATATCTTTAGACAGTGAGTCTCTAAGGTTTTTGGGGCCAAGTACAAGAATCTCGGTTTTCTGAGTTTAACATCAGAAAATTGCAGCTCATCCAGGATTCTTTTTTTTTTTGTAATTTAGATAATTGATTAATTTCATTGGGCTTGATTGATAGATATAACTGCGTATCATCTGTATAACAGTGAAAGTTAATGGAGTGATTCCTAATAATGTTGCCTAAAGGGAGCATATATAAAGTCCAAGTCCAAGTACAGAACCTTGTGGAACTCCATGACTAACTGTAGTATTTATTGAAGATTCATCGTTAACATGTTCAAACTGCGAACGATCTGATAAATATGACTTAAACCAGCTTAGTGCGGTTCCTTTAATGCCAATTTGATGCTCAAGTCTCTGAAAAGAATATTATGGTCAATGGTGTCAAATGCAGCACTAAGATCTAATAATACAAGTACAGAGACAATGTCCATTGTCGGAAGCAATCAAAAGGTCATTATTAACTTTAACCAGAGCTGTCTCTGTGCTATGATGAACTCTAAATCCTGACTGAAAATCCTCAAATAAACTATTGTTATGTAGAAAGTCACACAACTCTTTGGCGACTACTTTTTCCAGAATCTTAGAGAGGAAGGGGAGGTTAGAGATTGGTCTATAGTTGGTTAAAACCCCCATGCTGTAGTCCTGCTCTCCCTCTCTATCTCTATTTCTCACTCTCTCTCTCTCCCATTACCAAACCTTGGTAAAATGTGAGTATATCCAAGTAATTTAAATGTTCAACAGACAAGCAGTCTATTAAAATAATATTTATTTTACTGTAATAAAACATGAGGTAGAAGGATTAAATATCCAACCCATCTTGCAGGTTAAGTTTAACCCAGCAGGGTTAGTGTGTATATTTGTATAGCGAGGTCATTTCAGCTGTATATTGAATGATTGACTGCTTCTGAAGCATTTTATCCAGTCAGCACGAGCTGCAGCAACTGTAGGCCTTTTTTCCAGTCTCAGGTTGGACACAGAGCTGGAACTACCAGAGTCTGGTCAGTTTCAATGCACCACTGTAGTCCCAGTGCCCATTCCAGTTGTCTCTGCTGTGTTCAGGGACTGACAGCAGCACTGTCACATTGATTGATGTTGGGCGTTATCATCAGTCCCTTTACAGTAATCCAGTGGAGACTGCAACAGGCTCTGGCCTGAATCGTACAAGACTCCAATAAGAGAGTGAGTTTGCCTTTCCTGGGACGATTAACCCCATGATGAGGGATATAAGCACAGATATATAGTATTGAGTTATTGTGCGACTGTTCGGTAGTGTGAGAGGAAGGTTGGTCACATTTTAGTCTGTTATAATGACCTCTCGTTAAAGTCCTGATTTAACTGTTTAAACAGCATTTCTTGGAGGTGTTCAACAGAGAGTCAGCTCAGTGACTTTAGAGGAATGTAGGGCAGAGATGGGCAGGTCTTAGTGACACATTTACAACCTCCTGTTGACCCTTTGTTCTTAATACAGTACTTGTCTTTTTGCCCCTCAGGTTTAGTTTTCTCACCAAGTGCTGTGTACACAATGTGCCTGAACTCCCAGGATCCAAAAATGCACTTGTCTGCAGGATTATGGGACTTTTCTGGCTCTTGACTTTAACAGTAACAGTATGGCCACAGATCTGAGACACTGCAGTAGAAACATGTGGAGGTCTCACCGATAGCTCCTACAATTCTAACTGTTAGCATCTGTACGCGTAAAAACATCATTCTCAACATTTCTGGTTCACAGTGGGGAAATGGAAATACAGGTCCAGGCCCAAGTCCAGGCCCAGGTCCAGTTCCAGGTCCAGGTCCAGGCCCAGGCTCAGGCCCAGGTCCAGGTGCAGGTGCAGGTCTCTCTCAGGTGTGGATTATCACCTCACATCCTGGATTATGGATTACCTTACCAACCGCCCACAGTATGTGAGGACCAAGAACTGTGTCTCGGACATGGTGGTCTGCAGCACAGGGGCTCCACAGTTTTGGCTCCTTTCCTGCTCACTGCAGACTTCAGCCACAGTTCTCCGCACTGTCACCTGCAGAAGTTCTCTGATGACTCTGCCATCGTAGGCCTAATCATTGATGATGACGACAGGGAATACAGAGAACTGATAAAGGACTTTGTGGACTGGTGTCAGTGGAACCACCTCCAAATTAACACAGGGAAAACCAAGAGCTGGTGGTGGATTTCACAGGCGCAGTCACGCTCCCCGACACCGGTGAACACTCTGGACATAGAGAGAGTGGACTCTTATAAGTACCTGGGTGTTCACCTGAACAATAAACTGGACTGGACTCATAACACTCATGCACTTTATAAGCAAGGCCAGAGCAGACTCTATCTGCTCTGGAAACTCAGGTCCTTTGGAGTGCAGGGAGAGCTCCTGAGGTCCTTCTTTGATACTGTTGTGGCATCAGCCATTTTCTTTGGAGTGGTCTGCTGGAGCAGCAGCATCTCAGCAGCCGACAGGAAGAGACTCGATAAACTAATCAAGAAGGCCAGCTCTGTCCTGGGTTGCCCCCTCGACTCAGTACAGGTGGTGGGAGAAAGGAGGATAATAGCAAAGCTATCATCACTGATGGACAATGTCTCCCACCCCATGCAAGACACCATCAGTACACTGAGCAGCTCCTTCAGTGACAGACTCCTTCACCCCAAATGTGTGAGGGAGAGATATCGTAGGTCCTTCCTTCCTGCTGCTGTCAGACTGTATAACAACCAGCAATGCCCCCCCTCCCATCTCTGCATCAATAATAATAATTAATGTTTATATATAATATGTACAATATTTATATATAATAACAATGTGCAATAATTACTGTGCAATACCATTCCATATTCACTGTGCAATCTGTTGCCCATGTGCAACTGCTGCTGCTGCTACTATTTGTGTAATCTGTTGTTTGTGGATTCTTACTGTTTATTTTCTCTTGTACATAGTGTTTTTTTATTAATTTTTTTATTATTTCCTACTCTTACTGTTTTTTCTCTATCCGCTTTGCTGCTGTAACATTGGAATTTCCCCATTGTGGGACAAATAAAGGAATATCTTATTGCAGATGGGATTTTTGAAACTGGGGGGACCAAGCTGTCAGCAAATGATTTCAACTCAATAAGTTATTTTTGTGTAATTTGGGCTTTAACTAGCGCTCAAGTAGCTACTTCCGTAATAGCCTATGGGCCAATGGTTTGCACTAAAAAACCATTGGAGAATTCTTATTTGAAATCACGGATCATCATGCAGTCTTTTCCTACTGTGGCTGCCCCCTGGCAGATCCTCTCTTGACTGACTAGGGCCTGCCTCACTGTCATCAGGAATTGCCTGCAGGCCAGGAGGATAATGTTAACATTTTAAATCTTATAATTTCACTTAACAGTTGCTTATTAGTGTGCCTGGAAAAGCACACTACTACTATCCACCATACTTATTATAATATTTCATTCTTCCGTACGTTTTTCGGCGTGCTACTCCTCCCACAGTTTTGGTCGCACACAAACAAAAAGGCACCAAAACGGCGGCTCGGCCGGAACATTAGTGGTACGACTTTTCTAAACGTTTCACCAAACAGTTTGCCGATAAATCTCCAAAAACCGGTCCGTAAAAATGAATGGGTGTGTATTGGTAGAATGTTCACAGCTAGAGTGTGTGACTTTATCACTAGAGTGGAGAGAGAGAGAAACATTTGTTGAAAAATTAATTTGTAAACTGCTCTCAAGGCCACAAATGTCACTCTACAGAAATAATGTATAGATAGAAACGTAGGTAAATCCGTTGGGGTCGCAGTGATACCACTGCTGAAGCTGTCAGACAAATAGTTGTGGCGGGAAACGCACTGATGCGCCAGCACCACCCTCTCACTGCCCCATCTACTCCCATGTTAATTGGAAATTAGAAATTCTGAAAGGAGCTCGTTGAACCTCTTCTTCCTCAATCTCCCGAGGTCACATTTTTTAACTTTAGCCACTGAAACTCAGCAGTCCTATAGTCAACAAGATGACGACGCTCACAGTCTTTTCGGTTTTCATTTCGGTTGTTTTTTGGTCATTCCTGGCCAATGGTTCGAGGGGATTCATTTTGAGGTTTTCTGTGTCTCAGGAGTCAGAGACAGAGAGAAAGCCTGCAGCTGCTGTGGCCTCCCCTGGTTGCCACGACAACCAAAGCCTGCCTCTCACATCCACACACACACATAGCTAGCTACAGAGGAGTGTTTAAGGTAGTAATATTGGGCCAGAGCCACGCACACTCAAAGTTTCTTTACCAATTTTCTAGTTAAAATAACATTATACATAAAATTAAAAAACATTAAAGCTATTCACCTACGGCCTAAAAAGACTTTTATTTTACATTTAGTCTCCTTCAGGTAAATGCTGTTTATTAATGTCAGACTAGCTACTCAACATTACAAAACGATAAGCTGCCACATCTGGAAGGTCAACAGACAACAGGTGTATGATAGCCTACTTACAGTGAAAAATCGTTTTTTGTTTCTTCATTGAATTGAAATCACCCGCTCTGTCTGATCACCGCGACAGGCAGGGGCGCAGCTACCAGTTCCTCTTTAGGACCCTGGGGAGTGACAGTCGTGCCTTATGGTGTGTTCAAGTTACACTGAAAGTCGGAACTTGGAGCTCGGAACAACGTAACCCCACAGTTGAGTACTCCCATCGCTTCCCAGCCTCACAAACGTACAACAAAACATGTAACTACTGTTTACTGGAGTAGCAGATAGCATGAATTCTATGTCTGGCTGGTGAGATTAATCCGACTTTCTGAGTTGGAGATCCGACTTCACAGGGGGGGTTCTGATTAAAATTCTGACTTGGAGCTCGGAAATTCCGACATTCGTGCACAACTGGAACGCACCATTAGTTGCAGCACACAAACACCGGGCTCTCAATGCGCTGCAATGTAAATTAGTTTAACTAACGGAACACTAATCCTCCGTTTTACCGGAGATGTTTGTCGCCTTATGTAGGGACAGTGGGGGGCCACTATGAATCTGGGGGGGTCATATCCCCCCCGGTCCTAGTGCCATCTGCGCGCATGGGTCCAGATCCCTGCAGCACCAGCACTTTGGTTAGTTTGGTGACATTTTAGTCACTGCTGACTTTATTAATGCTATCAACAGTTTTATTGATACGTCATTGATTAACAACAGTTCTTTATTATGTTAATTGATATCTGATCGGCATTAAACTCAACAACAGGAACCAGAACTGTTCAGTCTGGGTCTCCAGCTGTTACACTGACTGATGCTAAGCTGCATATGTTGGACCGTTAGTATTAATAATCAGCTGTATGGACGATATCTCAGCAGCTGATTGGCTGATTGGGACAATAAAGGAGGTTATTGAGGACGCTGAATCCATTTTAAAATACAGGAAGTGGAAACATTGTGAGGTTGTTTATGTGATTAATACATTGGACATTAGTTATACTCTTTTGTGTCTTTAAAAGTACTTTTCTATCCACAACGTTAGCGTGAAGGCTGAATGACGTCATCCAGCGCCGGCCACTAATCTCCCGCAATGTCAGAATGGATTCAGTTTATTGTCCCCAGTCTGAGCAGCACCTACCTGCCCCGATACAGAGGTAAAGGGCCCTAAATGAGGCTCCATGTTGGATTTCTGTAATAAATAATAATAATAATAATAAACCCAGTTTTAAACCCAAAGGCACAAATAAGGTCATAAAGTGAATAAACAACGGACACAGATACAGCTTTCATTCAGTCATCACTCTGAGGAGGAGGAAGAGGAAGAGGAAGGAGGAGGAGAAAGGAGGAGAATTTGGACTCTAGTCCAGCTCTCCAGCGCCCCCTGGAGGAGGCTTTAGTCTTCGTCCTGCTGAATGTGGATCACAGAGCAGATCCTGTATATTTATATTCTTATTATTGTGTTTGTAGAATATTTTATCACTATAATATAATTCTTATTCAGTTTTAATGTTAATGTTGTCATTTTTAAAAATAATTTCTGTAAATACAAACTGGTGAAAAATGTATAAATTAAAATAAATAAAATAAAATAGAGAACTGACTTTTGGTCCTTTTTTGAATATTTTATTAGAATATTATCTATCATATATTTTATTCTGATTTCTGTACTTATTATTACATTTATAGAATATTTCACCATTATAATGTTGTTATACTTATACAAAACATTTCTGTTAATACTCCACACAAAAATGTTGAAAAACAAACAAACAAATACAAAATAAAACAGCAGAAGGACTTTTATTGTGAAGGTCCCGGTTTGGCGCCCCCTGTCGGCTGATGTGCGCAGCCGCAGTAGCAGCTCTGACGGAGCGTCTTCTTCCTCTCGTCCTCCAGCAGCGGCTCCGCTCTGCTTCTGTCCCGGAGAGACCGCCTCCATTTTGACACCCGGCGGAGGAGCAGCAAGCAGCGGGACTCAGCGGGACTCAGCGGGACTCAGCGGCCGGCGGACGGACGCTCCTCTGCGGCGCTGCTGTTTAAAATCCTCGGGGTCGTAAATCAGCCATTTTTATTGTGTTGTTGCGGGATGGCGGCGCTGCGGCAGCACGCAGCCGGGCCGGCGGAGGATTGGTGAGGATTTAACGGCTCGTTTTTCTGCGGTGAAATTCGTTGATTTAGCGGCGGAGGAGGAGGAGGAGGAGGAGCAGGAGGAGCAGGAGGAGCAGCTTCGGATGGTCAGGTACAGGCTTTATTCTAATTGGGTTTATTTTATTACGGGCTTTATTCTGTGGTTTATCATAAGACGGCTTTGTGTGATCTCCTCAGCGGGTTGATTAGCCGCTGACAGGCCGCTGCTGCAGCCTCCACCGGCGGCCTGTCAGCGGCTCCTGCTCGCTGTTTGCAGCCGGAGAGCATCCATCATCCTCCGGTGTGGTGGTGCTGGTGGGGGGGGTGGGGGGGGGGGGGGTTATATTATATAATGTGTGCGCAGAGGACACACCGAGCTGTCCGTCTGTCTGTCTGCAGATATAATGTGATTGCCCCTCTGACTGAGCGGCTGTTTAACACCAGGAGCTTTATTCCTCCTGCAGCTCTTCCACACAACCTTCCTCCGCGCTCAGCTCCGGGGTTTTCAGCTGTTTGTGGCCGAGGATGGCTCACTGAGGGCCGGACTGCAGGTGCTGCAGGGCCGCTGCTCCCAGAGATCAATACTTCTATATAAAGTCTGATTATAACAATAACAATAACAATAATAATAAGTCCTAATTATACGTCTGGATGAACATGTTCTATACAAATATTAATTAAAGTATTGATATAAACTATTCTTACAGTTGAGTTAATAAAGTTGGAACTTATCTGGTTTTAGTTTATTTAAAAATAGTAAATTAATTTAATCAAGAATGTTTTTATTAACTTAAATTCACATTTTTAAAGTAATCCTAATAAAACTAATAGTTAAAATGAGGCATCAGTGTTTAATGAGCTCTTTTATATAAAACCACATAAATTAGCACAACTTTTCACCTTTAAACAATTTAAGTTTATTTTATATGTTTTCAAATGTGTTCACAGAATTTATCTGAAGTCACTTAAACTTCTTTTTATAAACATTAATGTTAAATTTCCACAGTTTTCTTCCACTGAAGCAGATTTTTATATTACCTGTCAACAGCTGATCAAAATAATTTACAGTTAATTAATTAAGTGGTAGCCAATTAATTATCTGTGGCTCATTTAATTGTTCCTGCTGTAATTAAGATGTTACAATAGCCACCTTGTTTTCTGTTAATTAAAATGGATGTGTACTTGTTCCTGTGATGATTAATGAACTGAAGAATATTATTATTACAGTGGCTCGTACCTTTCTGTAAAGATATAAAATGAGTCAGTAGAACAAACTGGAAATGAATCATCAATAATTAAAATACTGCACATTAAAGTTCACTGAAACAACTCAGTTCAGTGTATATTTCATATTCTATTGATCCGTATCAATAACAGCTGATAGACTGTCCAAACAGTGAACGGGTCTGTGTAAAACCAGTTTGATTATATCCTGTGAATATCGATCAGTCCTCACTGCAGAGGTCACAGGTTTGAATCCGACCTGCATCAGTCCCTCTGTCTCTCCCCGTTTCCTCAGCTGTCCTATCAAATACAGCGAAAGTTTATTATAATTCATTAAAACTAAAACATTCTGGTTTCACACAAACGTCCTTCAGTTACTGAGTTTGTTGTTCAGTTTATCAGCTGGTCTCTGCTGTTATTGATCAATGTGAAATATACAGGGCACATAGTCAGTTTACTGGTGATAGAAAGGGGCTCCTGAGAAAACATATTGATAACCTCTGTCCTACATCAGACTATTAGTGATGTCATCAGTCATGCTTGTAGGCCCTGCCCCTTAAAATCAGATGTTCAGTGAGCTCAGAGAAACTTTCCACTTTGATTATTTTAATGTGAAGCAGACTCTAAACAGACATCATTCAAACACCAACAAACGCCAACAAACAACATCGAACACCAACAAACGCCAACAAACAACATCGAACACCAACAAACACCATCGAACGACAACAAACAACATCGAACACCAACAAACACCATCGAACAACATCGAACACCAACAAACACCATCGAACACCAACAAACGCCAACAAACAACATCGAACACCAACAAGCACCATCGAACACCAACAAACGCCAACAAACAACATCGGACGCCAACAAACAACATCGAACACCAACAAGCACCATCGAACACCAACAAACGCCAACAAACAACATCGGACGCCAACAAACAACATCGAACACCAACAAACGCCAACAAACAACATCGAATGCCAACAAACACCATCGAACACCAACAAACGCCAACAAACAACATCGAACGCCAACAAACAACATCGAACACCAACAAACGCCAACAAACAACATCGAATGCCAACAAACAACATCGAACGCCAACAAACAACATCGAACGCCAACAAACAACATCGAACGCCAACAAACGCCAACAAACGCCAACAAACAACATCGAACGCCAACAAACAACAACGAACACCAACAAACAAAATCGAACATCAACGAGCACCATGAACAATATCGAACACCAACAAATATCAACAAACACGAACAAACATCAAACACCACAAACATCAACGAACACCATCAAACACCAACTAACATCAACCAACACCATCGAACACCAACAAACACCATCAAACACCAACTAACATCAACCAACACCATCGAACACCAACAAACAACATCGAACACCAACAAACATCAAACACCACAAACATCAACGAACACCATTGAACACCATCAAACACCAACTAACATCAACCAACACCATCGAACATCAACCAACACCATCGAACACCAACAAACATCAGCCAACACCATCGAACACCAACAAACAACATCGAACACCAACAAACATCAAGGAACACCATCGAACACCAACAAACATCAAGGAACACCATCGAACACCAACAAACATCAAGGAACACCATCAAACATCAACGAACACCATCAAACATCAACGAACACCATCGAACACCAACAAACATCAACGAACACCAACAAACATCAACGAACACCAACAAACATCAACGAACACCAACAAACATCAACGAACACCAACAAACATCAACGAACACCAACAAACATCGAACACCAACAAACATCAACGAACACCATCAAACACCAACAAACATCAACAAACACCATCAAACACCATCGAACACCAACAAACATCGAACACCAACAAACCTCAACGAACACCATCAAACACCAACAAACCTCAACGAACACCATCAAACACCAACAAACATCAACGAACACCATCAAACACCATCAAACACCATCGAACACCAACAAACATCAACGAACACCATCAAACACCATCAAACACCATCGAACACCAACAAACATCAACGAACACCATCAAACACCAACAAACATCAACGAACACCATCAAACACCAACAAACATCAACGAACACCATCAAACACCATCAAACACCATCGAACACCAACAAACATCAACGAACACCATCAAACACCATCGAACACCAACAAACATCAACGAACACCATCAAACACCAACAAACATCAACGAACACCATCAAACACCATCGAACACCAACAAACATCGAACACCAACAAACCTCAACGAACACCATCAAACACCAACAAACCTCAACGAACACCATCAAACACCAACAAACATCAACGAACACCATCAAACACCATCGAACACCAACAAACATCAACGAACACCAACAAACATCAACGAACACCAACGAACACCAACAAACATCAACGAACACCAACAAACAACGAACACCAACAAACAACGAACACCAACAAACATCGAACACCAACAAACATCGAACACCAACAAACATCAACGAACACCATCAAACACCAACAAACATCAACAAACACCAACAAACATCAACAAACACCAACAAACATCAACGAACACCATCAAACACCATCAAACACCACCGAACACCAACAAACATCGAACACCAACAAACCTCAACGAACACCATCAAACACCAACAAACCTCAACGAACACCATCAAACACCAACAAACATCAACGAACACCATCAAACACCATCGAACACCAACAAACATCAACGAACACCATCAAACACCATCAAACACCATCGAACACCAACAAACATCAACGAACACCATCAAACACCAACAAACATCAACGAACACCATCAAACACCATCGAACACCAACGAACAACATCGAACACGAACTAAAACTGAGGTCCGACTTTAAACTGCAGGATCACCAGAAAAACACATAAATATCGTAGTTGTGTCTCTTTGTGGTTGTTTTGCGTCTCTCTCAGAACAACCTGAGGTTTTGTGGCCCAGCAGTCTGGGGGCCAGTGGGTAACCCCCTTGATGCCCCGGGGCAGTTATTCCATTTGCCCCGTTGGTATTGCAGTTGATATCTTCTGCCTATGAAACCTCTGATCATTGAGCCTGTTTAAGTTGGTGCAGTCTGACTTCATTCTGGTCTACAGAAACCACCTCCACACCTACAGACACACACATCTACTGACAGCTAGCTAACCTCAGCTAACGCTAACTGAATACCTTACTGATACTTCTGTTTTACTTCAGTTTATTTCTTAAATTCAAGTTAAAAGTCTGATGTTTATGTGAGTTTACCTGATTATTCAGCACATAACCAGAACATAGTAGTTAGTTTACAGTGGGTACGGAAAGTATTCAGACCCCTTTAAAATTTTCACTCTTTGTTTCATTGCAGCCATTTGCTAAAATCCAAAAAGTTCATTTTATTTCTCATTAATGTACACTCAGCACCCCATCTTGACAGAAAAAAAACAGAAATGTAGAAATTTTTGCAAATTAAAAAAGAAAAACTGAAATATCACATGGTCATAAGTATTCAGAGTCTAGCTGTGTTTAATTAAACTGATTGGACTTGATTAGGAAAGGCACACACCTGTCTATATAAGACCTTACAGCTCACAGTGAAACATGGTGGTGGCAGCATCAGGCTATGGGGATGTTTTTCAGCTGCAGGGACAGGACGACTGGTTGCAATTGAAGGAAAGATGAATGCGGCCAAGTACAGAGATATCCTGGAAGAAAACCTCTTCCAGAGTGCTCAGGACCTCAGACTGGGCCGAAGGTTCACCTTCCAACAAGACAATAACCCTAAGCACACAGCTAAAA